CCGGGGGGCTCAGGGAGGTCCCGGGGAGCTCAGGATGGTCCCAAGGGGTTCAGGGGGTCCCCAGGGGGGTCAGGGGGGTCCCGGGGGACTCAGGGAGGTCCCAGGGGGTCCAGGGCAGTTTAGGGGGTCCCAGGGGTTCAGGGGGGTCCCAGGGGGCTCAGGGAGGTCCTGGGGAGCTCAGAGGGGTCCCAGAGGGTTCGGGGGAGGGGTTCAGGGGGGTCCCGGGGGGTCCGGGCATACCGGGGGGGGCGGCCGCTCCGCTGCAGGAGGTCCCGGCGCAGGAGGGCACCCAGAGCCCCCTGAGGGGGAGGGGACACAGGGGGGTCACCCCCCTGTCACCCCCAGGGGGTCCCATGGGTGGAGGGGGGGAGGGAGGTGGGGGTCCTCACCGCGGTGGGGGGGTGGTCGCAGAGGGGCCGGGCCTGGCGCAGAAGCTCCGCCTCTGGGAGGGGCTCTGGGCTCTGGGGGCGGAGCTTTGGGTGAGGAAGGGGAGGAGGCCAAAGGGGTCCAGGCCCCTCCCTTCCAGGGACAGCCCCTCCCACAATTGTGGCCCCTCCCCCTGGGTGTAGCCCCTGCCCCACCCTCAGCTGTGGCCCCTCCCTTCCAAGGACAGCCCCTCCCACAACCGTGGCCCCTCCCCCGCCCCAGGTGTGGCCCCTCCCCCCTCACCTGTCCCAGGACCACCAGCAGCGCGTGAGCCCCCGAGCGGGGGAGGGGCCGGAACTCGCGGGGGCGGCGCTGGGGGGGGGGGAGGGGTCAGAAATTGGGGGAGGGTCCCGGTGACCCCTCCCCCACACGGGGGGGGCCAGAGGGGTGCCCGGGGTGGGGGAGGGGCGATGATGGGACTCACTTTGGGGGGAGCCGAGGGGGGCTCCGGGTCCCGCCCCTCTGGGGGGGGAGTTGGGGGGAGGCCTTGCTCTGTGGGATGCAAATGAGCATGCAAATGAGCATGCAAATCGCCATGGAGATCAGTATGCAAAGCAGCCTCATCGTACCTGCAGCTGCCCTGGCCCCGCCCACCCCGAGGCCACACCCACCACTAGAGCCCCACCCCCTCCCTGACCCCACCCACCCAGTGCAGACCACACCCCATACCTTGCCCCTGTCTCTTTAGCCACACCTCCTCTTGAAAGGCCACACCCCCTATTGAAAGGCCACACCCCCTGTGCCCCGCAGACACCCCCCTGCTCATCATGAGGCCACGCCCCTTTACCCTAGACCACGCCTTCTCACATGCCCCACCCCTCCCTCCTCCTGCAGGTGTGGGTGGGGCAGTGCCACCCTTAAGCCCCACCCCCTTAACCCCACCCACCAGTGCTGTGACAGTCCCACCCCTTCTCAGGCTCCACCCCCTGATGGAAGCCCCGCCCACCTTCATGGTGCTGGCCACACCCCCTTCCTGAAGCCCCGCCCGCCCCATCGCGCTGCCCTGCCCAGAGCCCCGCCCACCCGCCATGTTGGCCCTGCCCCAAGCCCCGCCCACTCCCATGCTGGCCCCGCCCCTCATAGCGAGCCCCGCCCCCCGGGTCAAGCCCCGCCCACCCATGCGGTGCTGGCGCAGCCGTTGGTCGAGGCGCTCACAGAGGGCGGGGCCAAAGTGCTGCAGGATGGAGGCGGAACGGCCGGAACGGAGCCGCAGCGGGAACCGGGACAGCGAGCGCAGGGCCTGGAACGGGGAAACGGCTCAAAATACACACCTGGGAACCCCAAAATACACCTGGGGAGCCCAAAATACACCTGGGGAGCCAAAGTACACCTGGGGAACCAAAATATACACCTGGGGAGCCAAATGTACACCTGGGGACCCCAAAATACACCTGGGGAGCCCAAAATACACCTGGGGAGCCAAAATATACATCTGGGGAGCCAAAATACATCTGGGGAGCCAAAATACACCTGGGGAGCCAAAATGTACACCTGGCAACTCCAAAATATACCTGGGGAGCCAAAATATACCTGGGACCCAAAATGTACACCTGGGACCCAAAATGTTCACCTGGGGACCCAAAATATCCATCTGGGGACACAAAATGTACACCTGGGGACCCCAAAATGTACCTGGGGAGCCAAAAGATACACCTGGGAACCCAAAATACTCCCGGGAAGCCAAAAATCATCCCCGCAGGGTCCCCAGAAACTGCCCAGAGGGGCCCAAAATCCACCTGGGATCTCCAAAACCCACCCAGAAGACGCCGAAATCGTCCCCCTGAGGACCCTAAAACCCAGTAGGGACCCCGAGAACCTACCTGGGGACCTCAAAATCCACCTGTGGACCCCCAGGGTCATCCAGGGACCCCAAAACCCACCCGGGGACCCCCAAATCAGTAGGCAGGGACCCCAAAACCCCACCAAACCCAGGTGGGGACCCCCTCAAAACAGCCCTGGGACCCCTTCCCCAGACCCACCCTCTCGTAGGTGCCCCTCGCCCACGTGCCCTGGGCCTCGTCCCGCCACTCCCGGAGCCATCGGGCGAACAGGGGGTTGGGGGGGCCGCGGGGGCGGCGGCGGCGCCGGGGGGGACCCCGAGAGGGGTCTCGGGGAGGGTCCGTTGTTGGGAAGGCGGCGGCGGCCATGGTCGAACGTTCCCGCCACTGCCCCGCGGGGCCGCTCTGGCCCGCGCCCGCCGCTCCGGGGAAATGACACTCGTCTGCTCTGGAGGACTCTGCAGGGGCCGCTCTGGGCAGCCCGGAGGATCAATTCGTCTGCTCGGGGAAGGAAGGGGGGCGAGAGGCCGCTCTGGGCAGCCCGGAGGATCAACTTGTCTGCTCTGGAGGACCCGCGGCTGCTCCGGGCTGCTCCGAGACCCCAAATCCTCCCGGGGGAGGGGGGGGGTGTCCCCAAAACCTCCCCCAACCCCCCAAATCCTCCTCCCAATTCTCCCGGGGGAGGGGGGGTGTCCCCAAAACTCCCCCCCCAACCACCTCTCAACGCCCTAAATCCTCCTCCCAAATCCTCCCGGGGGAGGGGTGGGTCCCCAAAACCTCCCCCAACCCCCCAAATCCTCCTCCCAAATCCTCCCGGGGGAGGGAGGGGGTCCCCAAAACCTCCCCCAACCTCCTCCCAACGCCCCAAACCCTCCCCCCAACCCCCAAATCCTCCTGAATGGACATAAATTGTCCCCCCAACATCCTCCCGGGGGAGGGTGGGTTTAAAACCACCCCCCCAATCCCAAATCCTCCCGTGGGGAGGTTAAATCCTCCTCCCAACCCCCCAAATCCTTCTGTGGAGGGTAAATCCTCTCCCCAAATCCTTGGGATGGTGAAACTTCCCCTCGAGCCCCCCCCCCAAATACTCCAGGAGGGGATAATTCCCCCCAATTCCCCCCCCAGGGCAGGAGGGGTCGTTTTTCCAGCACAGCAAAACCTTTATTGTTTAGAAAATCCTTTTAAAAACAAACCGGGGGGGGGAGGAGGGAGGGAAGGGACACCCCCTAAATAACGTGACCTTCCTGTCGGGGGGGGACACACACACACCTCCCAAAATAACACCCATCCCCCGGGGGGGGCACCCCGAAATAACACAGATCCCCCTGTTGGAGGGGGGGGGCACCCCAAAATCCCACCCCAGGGTGGGGGGAGAGGGAGGTGGGACCCCCCTCCCGGGGGGTTTTGGGGTCATAGGGGAGGAGCAGCACCCTGGGGGGGGGGGAGGGCACCCCAAATCGGACTTGGAGGGGGAGGGCAGCACTGGTTTGGGGGTCACACAGGTGAGGGAGGGGCGGGGGGAAGGGGAGGGGGGGGGCGGGGGGGGTTTTGGGGTGCAGGGGAGGGTTTGGGGGTCCCCAGAGCTGGTTTTGGGGTACCCAGGGGAGGCCCCCAACCCACCCAGGGGGTCCCAGGGGGTCTCACTGGCCCCGGGGGTGTCGCAGAGCTGGAACCTGGCGGTGCCTCCTGGGGGGGAGCTTTGGGGGTTCCTGGAGGGTTTGGGGTCTCCAGAGCTGGTTTTGGGGTCCCCAGGGGTGGTTTTGGGGTCCCCAGAGGTGGTTTTGGGGTCCCCAGAAGTGGTTTTGGGGTCCCCAGGGCAGTTTGGGGTACCCAGGGATGGTTTTGGGGTCTCCAGAGGTGGTTTTGGGGTCCCCAGGGGTGGTTTTGGGGTCCCCCTGCCCCTGGCTGTGTCTGGCAGCTGGAATTGCCAGGGGGGAGTTTGGGGGTGCTGTGGGGGTTTGGGGGGGAGAATTTGGGGTTCCCGGTGGCTTTGGGGTATCTGGAGGAGTTTGGGAGTCCCCACAGATGGTTTTGGGGTACTCAGGGGACCCCCCCAACCCCTCTGGGGGGGGTCCCACAGCCCCTGGATGTCCCGGACAGCCAGAATTCGCCGGGAGTTCTGCAGGTGGCTTTGGGGAGGTTTGTGGTGC